GATCTTGGAATCCAGGTCCCATAGTTTGACGGTGCAGTCGTCTGATGACGAAAGTAGAGTCCTGGACTCGGTGTCTAGCCGGACGCAGTTCACCCAGTCCTCGTGCGCGCGCAGGCAGTAGCTGACCTTGGTCTGGAAGTTGAACACCTTGATGCTCTTGTCGATCGATCCGCTGGCGAGCAACTCGCCGTCGAAGTGCACGCTGATCACACCGTTGGTATGTCCCCGTAGGGTGGTGAGACACTCGCCGGTGTGGTAATTCCAGATCTTGATGACGCCATCCAGCGACCCGCTCACGAGTTTCGAGTCGTCGAACTGCAGGCACCGGATCCCGGCTTGGTGTCCCTTGAGCTCACGCACCTCCTTGCCCGTCGACAGATCCCATATCCGCACCGTAGCATCGTAGCTCCCCGACGCGAGCGTGTTGTCGTCCATCTGTAGGCAGGTCACGCCGTTCGTGTGGCCCTGCAACACGTTCAGCCGTGCCCGGCCGTACTTCCAGTTCGACCCGACCTTGAAGCGGTCGCGGTAGATGTTCTTCCACGTGCTATTCTCGCTCGGGGCACGGTTGACCTTCTGCCTCTTCACCAGGGCGCCGGACTCGAGGTGGCTTGCGTCGCGCTTGCCGCCTGCCGGTGGGCTTGGTGACCTCGGGGTGTTTGGTGCGGGGAGCACCGGAGGCGCCGTCAGCTCTTCGATGGCCCGCTGTTCCTGGCTGTCCTTCTGCAGGCGCCGCTGCCTCTTCCAGTCGCGCAGCTTCCGCCTTTCTAATAGTGGTAGTCCCCAGCCGCATGCGGTACACTTCTTGTTGACGTGTTGCTCGCACATGTGCAGCCAGACCTGGTCGTCGTCTGCTAGCTCCCGCCAACGCTGGCTAACCTGAGCGGCCTTGCATAGTGATACAGTGTCCAGGTAGCATAGGATCTTCTGGGATATCTCGACGGGGAGGGCGGCGACGAAGTCGATCTTGAGTTGTTCACCGATCTCGCGGCTGACGACGGAGAGTTGCGGGAAGCATGCTGTCTGCAGCACGCCTTTGAGCATGAGCACCCGGTGTCTTGAGGGCGCTGCGCTGAAAAGTGACCACACGTGGGTGATGGCTTGTCTGTCGGCAGCAGATAACTGGTCGAGTTCCTAGTAGCAGAATGTTAGTGTCAAAATCACTGAGAGCACCAGGGACTTGCAGACATACCCTCTGAATCATGCCCATCTTGCTCTCGTCCGCAGCCTTCCTGCATTTCGAGTCCGGCCTGTGGCGGTAGCAGAACTTGCTGTTCGGGTCCTTCGAGTGGGAGTGGGAGTGTTCATGTTCGTTATCGACCTTGGAGATGGGAGCGTAGTTGTGGGGTATGTGTTCGCGGAGGAATGGGGTAACGGTCTGGGATATAAGTGAGGACGACATGTTGACCATGCGTGGATGGCCTCCCTCCTCTGGCCTCCGTCGATCGCAGTCGGCAGCGGTAGTTATTGTAGTGGTGGTGTTGTGTTTGTCATGATAGTCGTTGGTGGAGGAGGAAGAGGAGTGGTCGTGCGGCGGTGGTAGGGAGGTAGGGTTATTGTAAGATGAGCGGCTGTCGTGGATGGTCACATAGTTTTCCAGGTCGTCGTGATTTGTCTGATGGTCCATGCCGTGTCCGTCATGTCTTGAAACCGGCGAGCCGCGTGTCAGACTGGTGGAAGGGCCGGAAGCTTCCATGTTGGAAGGGAAGCGTCCGAGCAGAGGGGGACGAGTCGGAGACAAAGCCAGCTCGCGTTTAACAGGGCAGATGATGACAGCCGGTGCGGCGGGCCATGCTCTGCCAGTCGGTGACTGGTGGGCGGAATGTACGGACGACGGGTGGCCAGTTGGGATGGGCTACGAATACCCTGGTTTGGTCGAAGGATTGCGTGCTGACGGTATTCGTATCGTGCTGGTATGCCGTGTACTTTGCTGTAGGCCTGTAGGGATGCGTAGGGGTATGTAGATTGAAGAGCGGTCAGGGGGCGGAGAGAGACAGAGAAGAGAGTAACAGGCGAGCTCGCGCAATGGTCAAGCGAGGATGTCGCAATTCCCGGGCTCTGTTGTTCGTGCAGTTGGCAAACTTTGGGCAAGTTTGGCACGTTCCAGGCGGTGAGTAGTGGTCGCCGAAGGATGAAATGATATTGCTTGCACTGTATCGGGCAGGTATAACTGTCAGGTCACCGGACAGCGGATATAGGTGTCGATCTCTGTTCTTTTTGTTAGGCTTTTGCTGGCTGGGCTGGGCAACTTGGCGTTGTAGTGCGTGCTGAAGATGCCACTGATGCCATATCAAAGGGTTCAGTTTCGACTTGACGTGATAAACTAGTGGCAAACTTTAACTGCTCCAATCTGACTCACGTTGGTAAACAATTCTCAATAGTTAGGTAGAGATAGGCCTCGTCCCAGCAGTGTGCACTTACTTTCTCCGCAAAGTTGTCTCCGGACTTGTGGAGAATGTTCAAGTCAGTTGTCTGAGAAGCTAGTGAGGCTCACCGGCGGCCGACCGGTGGGCGGGGAGCTGAGCACACACTGGCACGAAAAGACTGCGCACCAACCAGGTTGCGACTTGGATTGTGGAAAATGGCGTTATCGCTCGTCATTTGTGGCCCGTGCCATCCCTGTCAGATCCGATGGCCGCGACTCCCGGAACGGCTAGCCGTTCCTGCCGGCCCAAGTTGCCCCTCCGTGCATTCGCTACCGACCGGCAAGGCAGGCTCCACTGTTAGGGCCACTCCCACCTTTCTGAGCCGCTGGCTTAACGCGTCATCACAGATGATTTTGACAGGGCTGCTGAGAGCTGATGTCGTCTTTTATTCCCGTTGTTTGGTCTTACTACATGGTCAACATTTCTCTCATCATCAACCCTGATGTCTGACTGATCCGGAGTGAGCTCCGGCCTGCACGCGCGCGGGAGACTTCCAGGCACGGTTCGGCGGCAACCGGTGCTGATCACATGGGCACCTTGATGGTTTTGAGTTTGACAACGCTTTAATGCGCTGGATGGCGTTTCTCTTGGCTGTCGATCATGCTTGGCTGCCGGCAACCCGAACCCCGGATATGCCAGATGAGGACATCACTTCGCCCGAACGTGACTGAAATGTCAAGTATACTCCGAGCATCCAAACACGGAACAATGATCTGATATCGGAAGAGAGAGGTCCCAATAATAGAAGCAGTCAAGGTAGGGGTTTGATGAGGGCGAGATCTTGTATGCCAGGTCGGGAGGTGGTTCAGCCGGACCATGACTGAGCAATGGTCAAGAAGAACGAGGATCCAAGAGGAAATGGAGAGACCAGACCCAGCAGCCATTAACTTGATGGGCAATGAGGATGCCTCTGTGTATACCGAAGACTTGATGCCATGAGAGACAATGAGCTGGTGTTTCCTCCAACAAGCCATGACCTCAAGCGAGGCTTGGTTGATCTGAACTATGACTGAAAATGCTTCGAGAATAGAAGAAAGAGAACGCAAGAGGAGAGACGAGAACAGGAGGAAGATGCAGATGTGGGTTTGTTTGCTGATACAGGGGGTGCTTGCTTCGTCAGACTCTAAGCCAACAAGCATTGACAGTTGCGCCGGGGACAACGAAGCTGCCTCCAGCCAGGCACAGCACCGAAGCATTCAAGTCTAAGAAACGACTCGTTGCCACAAGACCATGGACAACACGGCTACAACAATGAAACATTGTCTTCCAACAAGGCACGACCTCAAAGGACCGAGGTCGAAGAACAGGGGCTTTGGCCTTCCACCATGACCTTTGCGAGGGTAAGAATCGAAGCCCTTCAACTTTCCCGAATGGTTCATTGTTGCAGTTGCAGGGAAGGGAGGCTTTCTTCAACGAAAAAGTCATTGTCATGCTTATACGAAGCGACCGACAACTTGTTGGAGAGAGATGAAGTATATCGGGAGCCTCCCTCAACCACGGTGTCTTATCCAGCTTCCCTTCCATCATCGCACCGAACAACACAGCTCAACCTTGACACCCCAACGAAACCACAATAACTGCCACAACCACCACTCGTACACAACCGAACCAGATAACAACCAACAACCTCCATCATGTCAAGCTCAAAAGAACCAGTCATCGCCACCACTCCCATCACTCCTCCGCCTCCGCCTCCTTCTCCCCCTCCGCCTCCAGCATCTCCTCGCCCTCGCCCAGCAGCCACTTTCATCGACATCGATCCCGCCGCCTTCCCCGCCGCCGCCGCCACTAACACGACGACCACTTCCACGACCACCACGACCACTACCACTCCCGCCCCTCCTCCCCCGGGCCCCCCTCCCCCCCCAATCCGCTACGCCGACCTCCCCCCGCCGGAGAGGCTCTACTACTGGCACATGCCCGGCGGCAGCATCGCCGAGAGCCCCGAGCCGTTCACGGAGATCCCCATTGAGGAGCAGGGGCCGCCATGGGAGAGCGCCTGGGAGCGGGAGCAGCGGCGGTCGCGTGGACGGTCGGGGGCGACGGCTGGAAGAGGAAGGGGCGGTGGTCGGGTTGTTCGGATGAGGGTTTTTAGGGCGCCGTAGAGGAGATGAGCGGAAAGGAGGAAGAGGGAGGTATCTAGGTGAGGCATAGGGGAAGTGAAGAGAGGCGAGTGGTGAGAGGTGAGAGGTCGGGAATGCACTAGATGTTGGAGGCGTAATCTAGAGTCGGTAGCAGATTGGAATCGATGCTTGGATAAATACTAGACCCCTGTCTGCTGGACATGTGAAATTAGTAACTAATGTTGCCTCGTAAAATGTAGAAGGTAGTTCTACGATTCTTATGAATGGTAATTAGATTCAGGGGTTACCCTATAGGCGCACTTGACTTGTGATGCTCGCTAATACGCAACCAGGCTCTCACCACGCCTATATTATTACTTAACCTCTCCATTCTTGATGTTTAGACTTACCATATTACATCGTAAAACGGAAGGGACAGTCGCAACATCATGCCGTCAGATCAGAAGAGAGCAAAAAGTACCTAAGGTAAGAAAAGCAAAAACAAAGATAAAGACCTAGGCCGGACTCGAACCGACAATCTTTGGATTCGAAGTCCAATGAGTTAGCCATTTCTCTACTAGGCCGAGAGGCATACCGCTTGACCAACAGCTGGGTTTCCTGAGCACGTAGAACAAGGACGTGTAATTGGGCTCTTGTTTCCAGAAGTTACGGTCCAAGGCAAGAGTGAATGGGTGGGAGCCTGCATATCTAAAGTGAAAGTCCCATGACGCAACTTCCCATCCCATCCCATTAGCATCCCATCAGCATCCCATGCGACGAGCCGTCTCGCACACGCTCAACTGAAAAAGCAAACACATCTCCACCTCAGAGGCATCTACACTCCAGGCGTCTACCTCCCAGGCCTCTTCGGCCGACTAAACCCCTGCCTAATCTCCAACTTCGGGTGCAACTCCCCCAACACCACCTCCTCCGTAACCTCGCCCGGATCCTCGACCTCGAACGTCCTCTCGACCTTGAGGCCGGCCTCTTGCTCAGCTGTGGCGCGCACCGCACGCTTCATGAGCGGGTACACCATCCTGCTCTTGATACCGCCAGCCTTGATCCCCGGCGCCGCGGGGCAGGTGTAGATGAACAGCACGGGACTGCTGGCTTGCCCGCCGTGGGTGTGCTCGAAGCGGAAGAAGGTGAAGCGCGGGTCGGTGGGGGAGATGGTCTTGACGAGCTCGGCGATGGATGCCGGGGAGCCGGACTCGGGCGCTAGTTCGACGACTTCGTTTTGGGGGTTGATTTTCTAGCACAATCATTGTCAGCTCAGGTGTGGCGTAAGAGGGAGACTTAAGGGGTAGACAAACAAGCGAAACAAACACCCTCCTCCCCTCGCCCAATTCCCTCAACGCCTCCACCACCCCATCAGAAACAGGCATAGCCAAGTTCTTGCTGAGGTGTATCTCCCTCGTCCCCGTGCCACTCCCGGCCTCGGCCTCAGCCCTCTTCACCTCCCCCAGACTCCTCTCCTCCTCTGTCAACGGCGCCTCGAGCTTCGCGTGCGCGTCGTGCTTCTCAAACCCCCGCGCGCTCAGCTCCTCGGCCGTGGTGGCGAAGATCGTCTCGCGGAAGTGCTCCGTCCCCAGCTCCCGCGTGAGCGTGAGCCGCGTCGAGGCGAAGAGCATCTTCTGCCGCACGGGGGCGGCGTCGGGGACGTAGCTGACGGAAGAGAGGTAAGGGGCGCTGTCAAAGCGCCGGAGGAGGATGTAGAGGGCTTCTTTCGGTTGCAGGTGAGGGGCCAGGAGAGAGGAGAGGTTGGAGGAGAAGGTCGAGGATGAGGCCGGGCCGGTGGAGGGGGTGAGGAATTTTAGGGGCACGAGTTGCTCGGATTTGATGGTTACTAAGAGGCCGAAGTGCGTGTCGGAGGCGAGGAGGGTGTTGAAGTCGGTTAGGAGCTCCTTGGAGGCTGTACGTGCGTATATTAGCATGTGTTCTGGGTGTAGTCGATGAGGAGAGCCGTGTTGACTTACCGGAGATACCGGACTGCATCTTGGGCTACGCTTGTGTCTGGTCTGCAGATTGGTTTGGTCAATTGCAGAGTTGGAGGTTAAGAGAATGCAGAGCTGCCTAAGAAGGACTGGAGTTTGGCGATGGCAGCTTATATGGAAGTTTTTGTATGGTTTCAGGTTCGGTGGTGATTCAGGCACGCGTGGGAGAGCTTGCGGAGCTGACGTTGATAGTGGGGTGGTCGGCCGGGGCAACCGCCGGAGGTCCGTGCTTCTTAAGGGGTTCTGGAAGGAATTCCGCCTGCGGATGCGGCTTGGCTCTCAGGGGTCAGTCAATCAGGGGCGCATGGGCTGTCATAATGTCATTCACGCTCATTGATACGCATTCGGCGGCGTACACGCACAAAAAGTAGAGGTAGTTCTAACATGCAATTCTAAGGCTAGTCCAAGAAAAGAATACGTCAAGGCCTCCGCCTCTACAACCCTCAGTCATCCCATTCCTCGTCCAGCTGATCAATGAGACGGTTCTCATCTTCACGGTTCCCGTTTCTCCCTGAAGGAGAACCTACAGATAACCTGCCGTAGCCTCTCCTGCCGGGGAGGAAGCGTGCACAGGAGGACGTCATAATAATGAAGGTGTCCTAGGCAACCATGTAAGTTGGTCGTCTCATTCGATCGTCAGGGGAGAGCATACCTGTATAAACCCCCCAATGCCCGCCCAAAGGCTGTAATTAGGCAACTGCCTCCATCCCCTCGCATGCGCCACTGTCCGCTGGTAGAACACACCACCCAGCAGATACACAGCCACGGCCACAAAGAAGATGATGCCAAACACCCCTCCTGGGCCCACACTGCCCGGTTTATGCGGCTCCGTCTTGGCACAAGCATGCTGGGACAGCATGCTAAAGACGTACGTGCACTCGTCCTCATCCGTCTCGATGAAGGACATCCGGGCCTGGGTGTTGCCTATGTCCCGGTCACAGCGGAACGAGATGATGGCCGACTTGCGCCGCGCTGGCTCCTCGTCGTCCTTGGCCCAGTCGCTGGGCCGGTCAGCCTCTGTTACGTGGTCGTAGTCTTTGTGGCTTGCGCCAGAGTGTAGTTCTCGCTTGTCGTTGTCCTTGCTCTTGCGTGTGCCGCAGGGCGAACCGCCGGAGTATCGGAGAACGAGCTGTGAGCCTCGCGGGACGAGGGTTGTGTTTAATTGTCTATTGCCAACTATTAGCATCTTCCCTTATCAACGTTATCAAGTCTTGCGAATGCTTACCCTAAAGAGTACGTCTTCCCCGCTTCCTCATAATACGCGCTGACATTCTTCCACAGCGCCTTATCAACACCCATCACGTCCTTCACGCCCTTCACCACGGGCGCGCATATGTTCATCGTAAAATTGTAGTGCCAGTCGTGCGGCCTCTCCCATCTGTAGTCGTCCACAGGGCCTTTGTGTTTCCTTTCCTTCTCCCCTTCCTTGAGGGCACTGGCCATGTCGTCTCGCAGGTCGTAGAAGGCCCCGCTCGAACTGGTGGCGACGCATGGCGTGGCTATTGCTGTGGCTGTGGATGTCGTCGAAGCCTTCTCGCCGTCCCGGACTTGGGAGGCGGATGCGGAGACACCGGCTACGAGGAGGGTCGCGACGGCCCAGCACATTTGGAGACGCATTTTTCGGAGGAGTGGGTGTTTCGTCCGGCGTTTGGGGATGTTGGAAACGCCTGTGATGCGGCGTTGGGCGAACGGTTTACCGCATTAAACGGTGGTGGTAACGGCTTGACAATGCGCTGCTCTGTGGTCGTTGCTAAGGCTTTGTCTCGGGAAAAGTGTACGTGGAATAAAAGGGAGCTGACGTCGTTTGACATTCCGTGACGACGCGGCAGCTGTCTTGGACACATGTCAGATCCCCTTTCCGGCATCCGCCAGATCGCTGGGCACGGTCCAAACCTTAACTGGAGTGGAGTGGGGCTTGTATTACATAACACTGCAAGGGGCCCGTCAGTCCATCCCGCTTGCACTCAACATCACAAGTGACCAAAATCCGTTTGCCATGCTGTTTCCTCCGTGTTGTGAACTTTTACAATCCATTGCAACTAAGCACAGGGCGTGAGATGCTTGTTGAGTCTATGCACTATCTCATAGCGTACCTTTATCTCCCTTGCTGAGGGTCGGGCACAGACCCAGTAGTCTTGGATTTTTTGTTCGTACTCCAACACGTTACCGCTGCTTGAACCGCTCCAGTGTTTTGCTTCCTGCTTTCAAGTGAAAGTGGTATGCAGACAATGCATGTGCCTTGACAGCTAGTTGGTGTGATCCATCGCGTCGTTATATCACCATGAGGCAAGCGGCTACCCGAACCTACGGTGTCGTGTGTCATGGCTGGGTATCTCGTGGATGTGTGTGGGTGGGCATTGAGGACCTTAGAGAAGGATATCTTTACCAAGTCTCCATCTATTGAGACGGGAAAAGAATTTTACGCAAACGGCTAGCCGTCTCCCATCAGGAAAACATACCAACCGAGCACGCAGTAAGGCTGAACGCACGCTGAGTGAGAAAGGCTGCCGGCAAGTGTATTCGATGTTAACTCAGCTGGTCGTGGCCTCTGGCTAACAAATGAATGCAGGTCGTGTGGCTGGCATTACTTTGGGCTGTCGACATCGAATCCATCTCTACGTCTTCGCAGATAATGCCATGGCTGGCCGCTCTTGTCTATTCGCAAGGTCGTCGACCTGAGTTTCTCGGCATATCGACACTGTGGTGGCCGAGTCCGGACAGCAGCCGGTGTCGACATTATGCCTGATGAAAGGATGCTGGTATGGACAACGCGCTAGGCTGAAAGACGCTCGCCTGGTTCCAACAACATTGGGTTGGTATCCCTCTACGAATGTGGACTGCTAGAGAAAGTATGAGTGTGCCGGGAGCACGGATAAGAGTGGGAGGCGCACCGAGGAAGACTTCCTTGTACCGCAAGGAACACAGGCACAGCATGGGAGAAGAGTTATCGTGAGTAGTCCGGCTTCTATGTTGCCATGTCCCCCTACTGTCAGAAGAGTGAATTGGCCTTGTCCCGTCCGTACATCCTCGTACTTCTTTCTCCTTTCTCCTAGCGCGCAGTTTCCGTACCTGAACATGGTTCGTTTCGAGCAATGGAAGGTCTTACTATCAGTGAATGCACTTGCTGTTTATTTCTCGTCTCTTTAGATCTTAAGGCATGCTGGCAGCCGGGACAGCCCTGGCCGTTTGCTAGGTTGGTTCACCTGCGGCAGGCACCCGTCCGTGGCTTCCACTTACCTGCTTCACCTCACCAATCCGGTGCAGTCAAATCGTTTGCATTTGGCAATCTCTTTGAACTTGAATTGACAAAGGGTGGGGCCCTTGCTGCAGCAGGACGAGCGCTGGGAAGTCGCAGCGCAAGTTGATCAAGCCCCTTGACGCTAGCGTTCTTCCAATGTCAACAAACTACCACCGCTTGCCACGCCCACTCCACACAACAGGCACCCTTCTGCCAATTTCATCAACCTAGAACCTTCAACTGCACCCTTCCATTCTCACTACCCTTTTTACCTGAGTCAGGTTCAGAGGCATTTGGTAACCTGGAATCTATTCCATCTTCCTGGTTCCTTGGAATCGCTCCTCTCCTCGCG